CATTTCAATGGGGGAGAAAAAAATTCACCAAAAATTAACGAAGAGTCAGAACAAAGCCAAATTAAGTTTGCACACATTTTAGAAGGTGCACTAACGATTCCAAGCATTTAAAACCATTTTTGAACCTTTTAAGACATACTTAAAATTGCAAAAACGGACATCGCAAAACCATTGAAATGCATTGAATAGGCTGCAATGCATTCCAATGGAGGATACATTGTTTCGCTTAGCGATGTTTCCTATGGGGATTTTCGCTTAAGGATGGCAATCCGTTCCCATTGGAACGGATTAACCGGTTTTCAATGCATCTCTATGGGAAAACGTGTTTCGCTCAGCAATGTTTTCCCATAGCGGTTGTTTTTAACCAATTAACATCGTTAAGTGAGGCACCACTGTATTGCTCATCAGCTAAAATACATGGCTGTTGCAATGTGAATCAAGTTGGCAGTTGGTTACAAAATTGCTGCTAGGATACTGCAATGACATTTTAAAAAAATTGGATATTTCTACTTGATTTGACTTGCTTGTATCTGTTGCATAAGGATTTTATGGATGTACCAAGTGTTATCACGTCAAGTTTCTCTATTTGCATCAGTCATGTGCCTCTGCAGACAATACATCATACAGTATCAAAGAATAAAGCTGTCACACCAGAAATCAGGAAGAAATTGTATCAAGACACCTCAAGTACAAAACAGAACAAGGTAAGGTCAAGTCGCTAAAATTTGCAAAACAGTCAAGATTAAGGGCCCTACATTTGTATTTATTTTCATAGCATTTGCCAGAGATGTTGCTGTCATTTGTTTACCTTAGTCTGCAAGGAGAAAAGAGACAGACCAGTCAAATGAGGAGCCTGGGATAGAAGACAGGAAAAGAGTGTTTAACTCTTCCCACAAATCTTTATAGAAGGAGTAGGGCACCAATACATGACTGAATGTTTCAATGCCATCCCCACATGGGCATGCACAATTTTGCTATGGAGTTTCCCTGAAAGGACTCTCAGATCATGCCGAGGTCAAAACATTCAGTCACACCAAATACAAAGCAAAAGGTGTCCACAAGGAACAAGGTTCATCAACAGCTATTGGAAACCAGCTGAGGCACACAACTTCAAACACTGAGAACTCTGGCCCTGTGCTATTCCACAGGTCACCATACGGGCCATTGCCATGCAGGCTGTGGCTGGCGGGAAGCTGTAGTTTACAACACTGGGACACTGCCAGCTTGGAGAAGTCTAGCTGGCTTGTACTGAGGCACTTGCATGTATCTTCATTGTATGTAGCAGAATGGAAATCCATCCAAATTTCTCTGGCCCACAGGATGGAAGATTTTTAACATGGCTTGTAGCGTTCCCCATTTATTAGGTCAATGGTTCATGTTTTGTTATGTAATGGTTCATGCATATTCATGTTGCTGAGAGGTGGCGCCGAGAGAGATGCTATAAGAGATGGAGTCAGAATCAGTCAGGAAGAGTAACAGAGTCAGTAAGAGTGGAAAGTGAGAGAAGGGTATAGAGTGTCGAGTTTGGGGAATACTGAGGTGTGATTAGAGTTAGCAGTGTATTATCAGATAGAAGATTGTTGTTCATAATAATAAATTGATTTAAAGAAGACATCCATGAATCATTATCAATAACTGTAATCAATAAACAAAAGTTATATTTAAAAGACCTTGAAGTGTGGACCTGAATCTTCCTGAAGCAATGGTAATTTAGTGATCACCTGGTGGCAGCAGTGTAAAAGTTGGGATTATTTGCTTTCGTGTGCTTTAAGGCTCGACAGTCAAGCAAGGGGCATGAGCGGTGAATGCCACATGGCTCTTCAATTTTAGTGTTTGGCCTAACAGGTTAGATTGAGACATTATTCTGTTGCTCCGTTTATCAGGTTCTTCTTTTCTGTTTGCAGTTTATTTTAAGTATGTATCAGGAGAGTACATTTTTATTTGCTCTAATCCACGGCTGTGTGATTTGATCCTCCATTGTTATTAGGAATGCAGAATACTGTTCCTTAAAAAAAAAGCAACCAAAACTCACAACCCGACACATATTGAAAAACATACTTGTTTTCCTTGCTTTATTAATATTCCATTCATTTTTGTTAAACAGTTAACTTTGTTCCCTGCCCTGGAATGCTTGCACAAATGACACTTTATAATGCAAATGTGGATTTGATTGAAAGTTCTTAGGAAGCCAGATGTGTGTATGTTTGTGTGCCTGGGTTCATTCTAATTTTTAGGGGCAGGAATTGATTGCCATGTTATGCATCCTTAAGGAAAATTACAATAGGGAAAACAATGAGAAGGGGTTGTTGTTCTGGAGTTGTTTTGCTTTGCTTTTGTCTGGATGATCTACCATGCAAATAGAAGCTGATTCTCATTCATCATGGATTTTTTCCATTGTATGACTTTGCTGCATCCCTAATTTATGTCCTTGCCTTGACACTTGGCAGTTCTATTTTGCTGCAGGTGCTGCATGGTGTCATTGCTAGGAGTAGGACCTCAAACAGAATGTGCTTTCTTAAAATATGTACTTCCTGTTGTAGAAGTTTCCAGATATTGTTCCTGTGGCTTTAATGTAAAGTTGAATGGAAAAATCTTTTCTTCTCTGCAGCTCTCTGAAGGTGAGGGGAACATTTCGTACATTTCCTCAAGACCTGGCTGCACCTACCATTAGGCAGGATGAGGTGACCATTTCATTCAGCAGATGATGAGAGGTGGGTAGCAGTGAGGATTTGAAGACACAGCTGTGGGTGCTACGCAGGCCACTTCACAATTCCTAAACAGAATTCCTGTCCTTGTACTGTAGGTGGTGAAGGACACTGTGATAGGGCTGCCAGCTCAGGAGCATCTCATTCCCTGAGATTTCAGGACCAACTCTTGCGCAGCACATTAGTGATACATTGGAAGAGCTTAACTAAACCTCTTTCAAAGCACTGCTGATGAGTTAGCAACAATTAAAAGGAAATGGAAAACTTCCTCTCCCTTCCCTTCTACAGGAGAATAGGAAGGAAGCTTTTCACGTCTCAAGATTGTTAAGCAGCTTAAGCAAAAAGGACAGCTTAAGTCATCTGCTGTGGTTTGATCCCAGTAATTGCACATCCTGTAACTTAACAAAAATTGAATGATCCTACCTGCACAAAACAAACAAACAAACAAACAACACCAGAAAACAAAAAGTAGCCCCTGACAGGGAGCCAGAAAGATTAGGGCAGACTGTCACGTTCCCGGGGGTTACAACAGCCGAAGGCCGATAACCCAGTCCAGGGTCAAGAATACCAAGAATGCAAAGCCAATGTCCATAAATCAACTCACAGAATGAAGTCCAGTGTCAAAGTCCAGAGTCCAATACACAGCGTAGTCCAGGGTCAGAGTCCGAAGTCCAATACCAGCGTAGTCCAAGGGCAGAGTCCAGGGTCAGGAACACGGTACAAGAAGCATGGATGCAAGCTAAGGTTTTGACTGTTTGCTTCCACAGAATTTCTGGCTTTACTGGGAGCTGTTTTATAGTAAAACAGCTCCTTGAGCTGCTGGAGAGCTTTCTATCCTGTTAATACTCAGGACTAGATGATCGTAGGTATCTGTGGACAGCCTTTGAGCGATCCTCTGATCTTCTTGTCCTAAGTCTTTCCCGAAGCCTGGCCCGAAGCTTGTCTGCCGTGGAAGGAGAATCTGGAGGCAGTTCAGGTGTTTCTGATCTCTCAGCATTCTCTTCAGCCTCAGTTAACCCTTCTGGGTCCAGGTCTTCGAATGCACTCATGACACAGACATTGATTAAGTTGTGTGGTCTCCAGAAAAAGGAGCAAATCAATCCATTCCCAACATAGACCAAATGATGGTACAAATGCCCATCTGACTGTACCATACACCATCAGTGCTTTCTAGTGACATCCTATCATGACACTGTCCATACAAAATTTTACCAATTGTGCCCCTCCGTATTCATATGTCCATTTATTTTCATTATTTAAAGGATAGAGAAAAGGGCTGTATTAATAATTAGACAGAGGGTGGTGGGGAAGATGCTTCTAATTACTGTAAATTGAGCATTCATTTTCTTCAACTTAAAAATTCTGAGAAAAATTCTGGTGGCCATTCTAAAATTCAGTTATTTCAGTGAATCCTCTTATCAGCAATACTTCCATGGATGGACAATATATATTTTGGCCGTAGTTCAACATTTCACCTCAGATTATCTGGATTCTTGTGTAGTATTAACATATCTGTATCAAATTGTCAGTATTCTTGTGGTATTTTATGACATTCATCTATTTGAATAAACACACATATGAGAGAGAGATTTTTTAAAAAATATGTACACATATCATTCAATGTTATGCTCCCTCATAGATTTTGTAGTAATGTACAAAAACTATAAAATCCAAGGTGGAGCATGATTATGAGTGACACTGATGCTTTTAAAATCCTGGACCTGCACTTGGAACAAAAATATAAACCATGATGAATGAATTCATATGCAGCTGGAAGCCACTAATGCCTGAATTGTTAGCCACATTTTGTGTAGAAGTCAGCTCAAGATTGGAAAATGAAATTGCATAGTGGAATTTATCTAGCAGGTATGACATACAGTGTAAGGATTTAATACCCAATAACTTGTATGTGACAGAAAATATCTCTTCTAATTTCCACCTCTATATTTTTCATCTTTGTGAGCATCAGTCTATTTTCCAGTTCACACCTGTTTTCAGTCCAGTCTTTCTGATATTTACAGACCCAAATATTTCATTTGTTCAGAAAGAAATCTCAGGGTTCTCCATCAACCTTCTAGGTTTTGCACAGTGAAGCTAATAATAATAAAAAGTCATATACATTCCAGCATTGCAAAAGACATGGAATGCTCCCCATGGAAAGCACTGCAGAAGAATTAAGCATGCCTACAAATTCAGAAGGTAGTGCAGAAACCCGGAGAAGAGGATAAGCAATATGGTTTGCAACTAACATGCGTCTATCTCATAAGACAAGCTCCTGGGAAAAATTTATAGCATCTTAACACAGTCTCTATCAGCCTATTTTGATCCCCTCTTGATCCCGATTCATTTGTTTCTCGCTAATTCAGATTGTATGAATGCAACCGGGGATACTTTTCCATGCTGGAAGGGAGATATCAGGGCATACCCTATTCTGATTGTTTATGTCCTTGTGATGGTGGTGAAGTAGAAACAGTGGGGCATGTCCTCTTATGTATACTGTCATTTCTATCGAGATCTCCACAAGGATCTTCTCTCCCCTATTTTTCAAAACATTCTGGGGAGATCTGATGAATTTTATATTCTTTTGCTGCTCTCTGATAAGGTTTCTTACAGTACTAGTAGAGTACTGCTCTGCTGCAATAGTTTGCCGCAGTCTCCTGACCACACAAGGTCTTTGAGTGCCCCTGCCTTGTTAGAGATTTCTTGTTTAACTTACTTTCTAGGAGAGTTGGTGTGGCATGTTGATGGTTATATGTGTCTCCTAATCTCATCCTATATCATGTGACAGCTGTGATGTTCTAAAAGCTTTTATATCCTTCAATGCTGCTGGCTAGCTCAGAACATCTTTTTAACTTTAATGCTGTAAAAGAGCGAGAGGGTGCATTGATGGTGTCATGTCATGTCTTGACCAATGTCTTTGATATTATGTGATTTTATCTAAATACTGACTGTAAATGCTAATGCTAATGCTAATGCTAATGCTAATGCTAATGCTAATGCTAATGCTAATGCTAATGATAATAATAATAATAATAATAATAATAATAATAATAATAATAATAATAATAATAATAATAATAATAATAATAATAATAATAATAATAATAATAATAATAATAATAATAATAATAATAATAATAATAATAATAATAATAATAATAATAATTTCCATGCTATTTTTGTACAGCACACACAGTAGTCATTCTTAGTTATGTAACAGCATGATTCTGTATAGGTTTACTCAAATGCAAGCCCTATTGCGCTCCATGAAATGTACTTGTAGCCTAATATAGTAAATCAAGAATTACAAAGGACACAGCCTAATCCAAACCAAATTGCCTCTATTTGGAAGTGATAATAAAAATGACACAGGCTGGAATCCAATGTACACCTACCAAGGTGTACCTTGAGAATCAATATGAGGGCCGTGCCTTTATTATTTCATCTCAAGGTCATGAAAGGGCCATTTTCATCAGGCAAGATGGTAAAGAATGCCAACGAGGGCAAAGCAAAGCAAAATGAGGCTGGTACTGAAGGCAGGAAGTCTACACTTTGTTTAGAAAGAAGGTACGAAGAGGCTGTCTCTACTAAGGATGGAACAGATACAGATTTTGCCATCCTGGATGGAAAGAGATGTCTCAAGACATCCAGGAACCCCATTAAACATAGGGAGATGCTGGCAGATTTTTTGTGCTGTTTCATGAGACTGAATAGATCATGTCTGCCCCCCGTCATCAATATTAGTTTTAAAAACTGGTGTGTGTGTGTGTGTGTGTGTGTGTGTGTGTGTGTGTGTGTTTGTGTGTGTGTGTGTGTGTGTGTGTGTGTGTGTGTGTGTGAGAGAGAGAGAGAGAGAGAGAGAGAGAGAGAGAAGTATATTTTGAATTAAAATACATGTTTTTAAAACATAAAAGAAAAAGGGTCTTTGGCATAAAATCTCCTTCTATTAATTTTTCACTAAAAAGTTCTGAAATGCAAAAAAGGGGACAAAAACTGTTATGATCTGCACATTGAGAAGAAAACGTTCACAATTGTTTGGTTTTCCCCTGCGAGAACCAAATAAGCAAAGATTTCCATCCCTGCTACAGCCATTCAAACTAGGGATCATGATGTAGCGTTTTAAAATACATGTACCCTGTATAACTTTTCTAGCTAGTGAGGATAACATTGTTCAGTGTTGTTTGTACTTCATTTTACATCATTCCACCAGAGTTCCTATTTCATCCCTACTCCCTTGGACAGTGAGATTCCCCCCCTTTCTGCACAGATTGTGTGTGTGTGTGTGTGTGTATGTGTGTGCGTATACATGCACACACACACTTTCTCTAAGAGGCACACATTTCTTTATGTAAATATTTTGAATTTATTTTTCCCCATTGACTAAGCATGCTTGTGCTTTTCCAAAGGTATACATTTTTATAGTGTGCACTTGTTAAATGGTCATATGATTTCAAGTGCATTTTTCCCTTCAAAATGCATGAGGATGCAAAATGGATGTTTCCAAGAGGTGGGAAAAGTTGCTTTTTTGTTGGCTGGAGTACTCTGGAAGCTGTAGTCTGAAAAAGTAACTTTCCCTTCCCTGATATCTTCTTAGGAAATGAGAAGCCAACTAATACTCTTGTCCAAACTGGCTCTCAAAATTCCATGCAACATATACCTGGCTGCCTCACAAAAATCTCTTTTTGAGTCATTGAAGCTCTAAGGTTGGGAATGGGTAGAAAAAACTCAGTAGGAATCATTGCTTTGCTGCAAATGTTACTAATAGGATTAGGAAAGGCTTACTGTCTATAAAAAAGAAATGATAAAACTCACTAAGTGAGGAAGGGAACTCCCCTCCTTGCCAAACCTAACCTCACAAATTCATAGGTTTTACAAGTGACTTATTGTTGAAGGCTTTTGTTAACTTTGCCATGGGAGCATCTAGTGTCATAAATAAGTGTTAATCTTTAAAGCTACTTAAGACCGGAAGGTAGCTGCTCTAATCCCTTCCTTGCTGCCACACTTCC